TGAGGGAGTGAACGCCATTGTTTGATCCGCGAACTCTCCTGTCTCATCCTGGGGATGGAAGGATGGAGGGTGGGGAAGGAGTCGCTGTCTCCCGATCTCGGGTAGTGTCCAGTCAGCCTCGTCTGCTTTCCCTGCCAGCTCTTAGGTTCGTCCGGGGTCTGTACCGTGTTCTGCTCAGTGATACCCCGCGGTTCGTAATCCTGTGCATCCCTGGCTTGTAGGTGCGCGCTGTGTCATTTGCAGAAACGGGAGCCGCTGTTGAAGTGGGTTTTTTATGAGAAAGATGGGGCAAAGGGGAAGGTTCCCACCGGAGCAGTGCAATCCTTAAAGATGGGCAGTGCTGGAGACCTTTTGTGCCTCCAGCGGGGCCAGGGCTTCCAGGAGGAATGCAAAGCTCTCCACGGGTGAATGGAGGGAGGTGGCTCACAGAGAATTTTTTGGCTGAAAATTATGCTTCCTCCCTGGAAAATAACTTATTTCCATTCCACGCAGTAAGCTTTTACAACCGTAATATCAGGCAACTGGTTTCCAGGGAAAATGCTCGTAAAAGAGCCTTTTCTTTTTCATTTTTTCCTCTCTCGCCAGCATCTAAAAAATATTATTCTGTGGCAATGAGCAATTGTGCTGAGACAGAGATGGAGCTGTATGGTCTGAGAAGGCAGAGTTTCTAGCTAGAGAGTAGTAGATGTGTAGCTGCAGGAATAGTCGTTTTGTCAATATTTTATTTTCTCTTTGTTTTAAGTTTTGTCCATGTTTTCTTAGCCACTGCCTACCACAGGGGTGCTCAGTGAGCACTGTGAGGGGGGTCAGCTGGCTTGGTGTGCAGTTTCCCTCTGCCCCTGCTCAGGAGTGTGTAAATGGCAAAATCTCTTTTGTGTGTTCTTCCTGAGCTGGGAAAACCTCATGATTGTTCCAGTCCTGAGGCTGTTGCAGAAGGAGCTGAGCAGACCTGACTCCTGAGTGCTCAGAAACCTGTGTGAAATGCATAGTGCACTGTAGAGTGCTGCAGTGGTGATGGTGACCTGATTGTGATCCAGCATGGCTGGGGCTGTGATCCCAAATGGAGTAATTGTCAAAACTGATAAGTAAACAATGTGCTGTCCATTTCTACCATGCATGTCCTTAAATATGTCATATACCCTTCTTCAGAAAAACACATCTCTCTAAACCTGGTCGTGCCTCTTCGTCATAGTGACCACAGATGTCTCTGAGAACCTGTTGGTGCTTTCTCTAGAAGTTTCTCAAGACATTCTCTAGCTGTGTTCCTAAAACAGATGCTGTTGTCTAAAATTAAGGGTAGGCAGAGACGTCCTCCACCCTCTGCAACTGTAGAGGCAGGGTATTGTTTTCCTCTTGAGTGTGGTTTTTTCCTGGGACTACATCTTCACTGCTCCTTTTCTTGCTCTTAAATATTTATTTTAGGAGCAACTAGTTTGAATTTAGAGACTTTACTAATGTACTAATGAGGCAGAGAACAAAAGGGGCTACAGAGATTAAAATGCGCCTTTTTTTTTTTTTTTTTTTTTGAGCAAGTGCATTGGGGAGAAGCAAATGCTGGGGATATGCTCTAAACAATTAGCTGGGCACAAAGGTGTGTCCTAGATGATACACCGAGTTTCTGGTAGATGTTTTATAAGCACCAGGAATTTAGTGCATGAGATGTGAGGTTGCTACCTGATAGTCAGGCAGCACAGGTGTGCAGAAATGTGCTGCTTGTCCCTCATGTGAGTAACAAGAGAATAACAGAAAGTTGGGCAACAGAAATTTGACCGACACAAATGTGAATTAGGGGAATCAGTTTCCTGCCCTTTGTGCCCAGTGTTCTCCTTCACAGGAGTCATGGGACCCTGTTCCTTAATTTTCTTTGTGGCTGCTCACTGCAGCTGGGCCTTCCTCCTGCAGTGTTTTCGTTCTGGGATTCAAATTGGCAAAGGCTGAGCCTTTAAAGAAGTAGTTTTTCCTGCTCGTTTGTTCTGATGCTGCTCACTCGTCCAGTGTGACACTGGAAGGTGATGCCTTATGAAGGGATGGGTCCAAGGGGTGACACTGTCCTTTTCATCTTCAGTGAGCCCTTAGATTGGCTCCAACACCCTGAATTTTGTCTTGATAATTTCAGATCCCTTTCTGTCTGGCTGTTACTTAATGCTTTTATATCTTTATTGCTTTCTTATCTTATAGGTAACTACAAACTGATCATTTAATTTGATTAAGAATCCTTCAGAGGATTGAAGTTACTGGTCTGTAACTTAAGTCTTCTCCCACCTTTTTTTTTTTCTTTTATAAAGGTAGGTGAGGCATGATGCTTCTCCAGCCTTCTCATGGCCTTCCTGTATTCCTGTGCATTTTCAAAGATAGTCACTAATGCCTCAGGGATTACTTTGACTGGTTTCTTACATGCTTTCCGGTGAATGCCATTATTCTTTCTCAGTCAACAGCTGTTTTGTGAACATTTGTTGAGCCTTTTTTTCCTAAACCTCTCTTTTCTCCCATTTCCAAATTAATTTTGCTCATCACATTTAACTTTTTCTTCTGGAGACTGAAGGAGCTTTTGTACTTCAGCTTTTACAGCATTTGCTTTCCTGTTTGCCAATAAGAGTGTAATTATCTTAATTTTCCTCTTCTAACATGCCTGCTTCTCTCCAGTTTTCTTGTGATTGCAGAGCTCTTGGGAACAGCTGTGCTGATTTTGACTAAGAGACCACCTAACCCAGTATCCTTCTAGGAAAGGATAAAAACAGGACAAGTGTATATGGTATTTTTCAAGTACCCTTTCAGTTTCCTGAGTCCAATGTGGGCTGTTTAACCATTAGCAATCAATTGATTTGTCTTTCTAGTACTTGTCCTGTCTTTTGATGAATCCATGTAAAATTTTTTGTTGTTTTTGGAGAAGTACTACCACACAAGTGATCTGCTGATGAAGGTTTGTTTGTTTTGAAGCTCACCCTCACTGGCTTCATGTGATGGCTGTCAGCACCTAATGATTAACCCCTGTTCACCGTCTTTACACTACTCATGAATTTCCAGACCTCTGTGATGTTACCTGTCTTGCATCCGAATTTGTTGCACGGATGCTGTTCCATGGTAAAGAGAAGACTTATCTGGGTAGGATCTCTGGTCAATACCTTCCTCAGAAGCCTTGGGACACTGAAGGGCAAGGACAGGGGTACTTGGAGTCCTTGTTCAGCCCACCTGAAGGGAAATGCTGAAGGCCAGATGCTTTCACAAGATGTCTTGTGCAGTTTCATACACCCAGTGATAAACTGCCTCCCTATCCTTTAGTGCTCTGTTGAAATCAGGAAGAGTTTCAGATGTTCCTCACGGTGATACATACCTGAGCTAAGATCCTGATGGGAGAGGATGGTGTGACCGAAGCCTTTCCTTTGAGGTGGTGGGAGGGAGAGTTGAGCTTGCTCTCAGAACTGCTTTCCTCTTCTCTTTTCAGAGATTGGCCAGCCCAGCTGAGATCACTTAGCAATGACAAAACAGAAGCTTCTGCTTGATGGGACGCTCGCCTTGTTTCTGATCATGGCCTGTGAAGCTCAGCATCTTCCGAGGAGTCATGTTGCTGCTAGTTCTGGTTCCCTGTGTGAGAAGGAGGCAGAGTCCTGGGGAAACCTTTTCAGCAGTGAGCGGCTGGATGCTTGGATCTGTTCCCTCATCGGTTCATTCATGGTGGGACTGAGTGGGGTTTTCCCCTTGCTGGTGATCCCATTTGAGACAGGAGCTGCTCTGCAGTCAGAAGGTAAACCTGCTACCTGCACTGGCCTTTCTGAAGCCAAAAGTCCTGGGATGTGACACATGACCGAGCACAGTGAACAGGACCTTGTCACAGAAATATTGTTCTCTAAAATAGAAAGTCTGTTCTCAGTGCTTTAGTCCATACCTGTGAATTTGATAGGGAGTCCTTGGGCGAATGTAAAGCCTGGATGGAGTTTATACAGAGAGTATTGTTTTGCACCCTACTTGGTCCAGGGGCCTCCCATACACTGCTGTCCCTGCCAAGTGGTGCAAGGGCTTTTTCTTGCACTCCATTTGTTTCATGCTTGCTCCTTTGAAAGCTTGCTTTGCAGATGCTTCCAATTTAGGTTTCTTTGTGCAAAATCTCAGCTGGAGATATTTTGGCTCCTGAGTGAGTTGTGATCCATTTTTGTTTCTTTTTCTTTTTTTTTCCTTTTAGCTGGATCACACCGTTTGAAGCAGCTGTTGAGTTTTGCAATTGGTGGACTATTGGGGAATGTGTTTCTGCACCTGCTTCCTGAAGCCTGGGCCTACACATGCAGTGCAACAACAGGTATGAAAGTATTACTTGTCTGGAAGCAGCCTGTGCCATGCCTACTGCTACCTTTGTTGAGTCTGTTCTGCCTTGAAAACACAAGACCAGCCAGGCTGGGTCAGCCCAAAAACTGGTCTAGGCTGGTATTCCCTTTCAAACAATATATAAAAGCAAATGCCTAGGGAGGGATATAAGAACAATAAACACACATGTAATACTTCATCTCTGTACTCTGGAGTCCTCCAAAGACTTTGAGATTAGAGGCTTTCTCACTTTGCCGTGGTTTCTTTATATTTAGTAACTTGCAATGGTTTCCTTGTCTATGGACTTTTCCTGGCTTTCCTTGGACTCCTGTAAATCTCTGTCGATTTTCCTTTGTCCTTTATGTAAGGAAAGGAAATGCTTCTTTAACCTGATGGGAAGCTGATGCTGAGAAAAGTCTGGAAAAGATTTGAGATTAGAGGCTTTCTCACTTTGCCGTGGTTTCTTTATATTTAGTAACTTGCAATGGTTTCCTTGTCTATGGACTTTTCCTGGCTTTCCTTGGACTCCTGTAAATCTCTGTCGATTTTCCTTTGTCCTTTATGTAAGGAAAGGAAATGCTTCTTTAACCTGATGGGAAGCTGATGCTGAGAAAAGTCTGGAAAAGAACTACTCACAGACTTGTATTGTATCGTAGCAGGTATTTGTTTATTCAGCACTGGGCACAAGGGGGATTGCTCTACCAAACTTGTGCTCCCAGGGACAAAAACTTCACGGTTTATATACATTAAATGCTCATACGTATTCATTATTTCCAGGAATGGGTGGTTATTATTATAGTTAGTTGTTAGAAATCATTATCATATACTCCTCCTTCGTCTCCATCCTCCTGGCATCAGTCCCATGGTCCTGGTGGTCGTTGGGTGGTCGTGAAGATGAAGTGTCTCCTCTTCCTCAGTGCCCTTTGGACACCCTTATTATGCAACCGTTTACCCCTTTGGACAGTCTTGCGTTCCTTGCTGACCTTGCCTCTATCTTGAACATTTTGTTTCTTCATTCCACACCCCACATGGTCTTAGTTTTCCCCCTACTGCCAAGGTTTGAGTCAGGTTAGTTCTACTGCCTTATGGATAAGGTGCATCGTTTCGCCAGCCAAGCCAAAACAACACTGTTAGTGAAGCTCCTTATCTATACTATGTGATCCTTGCTATTTTGCTAATTAAGCTGAAATTGTGCTATTAGTAAAGTTATTCTTTATGCTTTGGGCTTTAACTGTTCAATTCCTGCTTTCAGTCTACTTCTTGGTATCAAAGCAATGAATGTGTGGATGTATGTGAACATGTGCACTATCTCAGCTGGGGGTCACTAACAGGGACCCCTCTCTTGGGTACTTTGATTTAAGGGAGCTCATATGCGTTGCCCTCTCAATCTTTGCTCAAGGAGAAATCATGGAAAATTGTCTATAGAGCCATAATTGGAGGGTGGGCAGGGGCAGAAAAAGGAAATGCAGGTGACAGAAACTTGTGTTTGCCAGCAAACTAAACACTGTTTTAGTTGGTATAGAGCTTATGGTATCAGTGTAGCTCCTTCATCCTTCAGATAGCCAGGGTTGTTGAAACCTATAATGTTTGTATCTCTCTGCTTCAGCAAACTGATAGAATAGAAGGCAGGTGCTGCTGCATCCCATCTATTGAGAAACCAAGAAACAGTTTTGCCACTGAAATGTGAGAGAGGGGAAAAAGATGCCCTGGGTTTCTTGCACCTATGTCCTGGGATATCAAATCTGCTGACCTTTAGTTCTCTTCTTCCTCACAGCCCTAGCACTGTCAGCAGAACATGCTATCTTTTTTTTTTACCCCTTTCTACAGTGGCTCCTGAATTACTCTGTCTTGCTGCTCTAGCTCATTTGCTTCTGACACACTGTCCTGAAGCATAAAGGTTTCCTCGACCCATGTAAGCCCTGTTTGAGTTGCTCTGTTCTTCTATTGCATGCAATCTCCATTTCTGCTGCCAGGCTGAATGGATTATTATCTCGCAATCTTGGCTGCAATTGAAAAGAAAGTTTATAGCTTTGAGCTTAATAACTCGCCTAGGTGTGGCAGAAAGGGGAAGGTGAATCTAGAGCTTTGGTAATGGCAGATTTCATGTCAGGGCTTGCTGCTCAGTAGCTTTAGCTGCTGGATTTTTGTTGATGTATCTTCCTTTGCCTCTGGAGCTCACAGAAATTCACAGTGCTGTCAGGAAATATTCTGGGTTTCGCTGAAGAAAAAGGGGTGGTAGCTCTCACTCTGAGTGTCCTGAGATGAGGCTATCTGTTAGATCAAGAATAAGCCAGTTAAACTTATCTATTCTGAGATGTGTTTGCTCCTCTTATCTCCAGGGAGTCTTTTCACTGTAAATTCTTGTTTTGTCTTGAAACTGCTGGTGTCCGGGATGTGCTGTGTGTTCACATGTGTGAAACACTGTGTACTCAGTAGAGACATGAAGATTTCTTTGTTGCTCTTCAGGAGAAGGGCAGAGCTTGCAGCAGCAGAAGCTTTTGGGTCTCTGGGTTATCATTGGTTTCCTGACCTTCCTGGTGCTAGAGAAAATCTTCCTAGAGAAAGAAGAGGAGTGCCCTGGTGTGGTAAGTTAGCAGCACGAGGAGGGGGAGTGCTCTTGTATTTGAAGTTCTGTACTAAACACCTCATCTACCTTATCTGACAGGCTCAGCAATTGACCCTGGAGCTGTGAGTACCTTGTCATTGCCCTTTGGGAGCTTTTTTCCACTTCTTTGAGACTGGTCTCTAGAAAAAAGTTTTATCTCCAGGCTTTGTTTTGTGGTTTTAACTGAGATTTCTCACTTCTGGGTTGGTTTTGTTCTTTATATTACATGTGTGAAAGAGGGCTCCTCCTTTATAGGGACTGGGATCTGGAGCACTCATGTCAAGGGGGCATGACTCCAATTCCTCTTCTTTCTTTCAACTTCTCTTGAGGACTGGGAGGTCTTTGCTCTTGTTGTCTTACAGTGGAGATGTCACAATGCTGTCTGAATCTGTCTCATTTCTGGCAGCTGTTACTGAAACAGGGGTACCAAAGCTGCTGATTTACATTGTAAGGGCCAAAGGATTAAGGGTGAAGATTGGATTTCTGACCCTGATCCATGCTCATTCATCACTGACAAAAAGTCAGTGACAAGTTCTTTTCACCCAATCTAGGAGTGTGATTCCAAAGCACTTGCTGGACAGATTTCCAATGGAAGGGTAGCAGGCCAATTCCAAACAGCAGGAACTCAGTGTAATGGCTCTTCTCTCCAGTCTTGTCCAACAAACAACAGAATCAAGGTAAGAGACCCACAAATTCACCTTCACATCCTTAGTCAGGAATTGTCTGTGGAAAGAACTGTGCCTGAGTGGGGAACTCAGTGTTTGAGTCGTGCTTAACTTTGCTCTGTCAAAGTGTGTGTCCTAGTCACAGCATGGTAGTGTGCTGGTTTGGAAGCAAACCAGTGAGAGACTCCAAGTCAGAAATACAATTTAATAGGAAAACCAAAACAATAAATGCAACAGTATAACAAGAAACCGCTGACAGAGTCAGAAATACATACTATTGGTTACACCCTACATTGTAACCTAGGACAGGTGGAAATAGCAGACTTGAAAAAAATCTGCACTGCAACTTATGCAGAAGACGCAAAGTCAATATTGTGAGGGCAGAAGTCTGGTGATCTGTGTTTTGGCTGAATTCTGAGACCAAAATACAGTATTTCACATTTTGCTGCTCTATATTTTCTAGTTGTTATGTCTTTACGTTCTTAATTTTCGGTGCCATGATTTCTCTAGTGCCGGCATTGTACCTATCGTGAACTGCACTTTTCCTTTTGAGGTATCTTTTGGAGGTGTTTCAATAGTTGAAGCTATCCATTGCAGAACTCAGTAGTCCAGTTTTCTGATTGTCAGTTTATCTGCTGTCAAAAAGGACTTCTTGTCCAGTTCTGTCCCAAACCTGCATTTCCCATTGTTTCCTTTGCACTGGATCTTGTCTCGCCACACAGTGAGCCTATTTAGGGAGATAAACAGGCAAAGAATTTGCTTTTTCTACACACATACACCCACCTACCACCCCTGGGTTTATTTCTCTCCTAACTTAACTTATTGAATCGGCTTGGCGTGTAGACAGGCAGCCCGTAGTGTGGGGGTAAGTTTGCCTGATCAGCAGACTCATGGGATTGGAGGTGGGGGAGGGCAAGGGAAGCAGATAACCTTTACACTGGCTTTCCTTTCAGTTTAATGTTACTGTCTTTGTACCATGGAAACCCTTGTCTGGGTGAACATTGCAAATGAGAGAATGAACAACTGCATTTGTGAAGAAGGGCCTACAATCTGAGCCTGAAAGCCCAAGAAAATGTGCAAGATTGTGTGAGAGTAACTATGAGCAGAAAGTGAGGTTGCATGAACTAGCCCAGACTTGGGTGTGTGGTCAGTCAGAGGCTCTTCAGTCTTTCTCTTTTAAATCTGTTTCGGTTTAACTTTATAGCTCTTCCTATACAACGTGAAAGTTATGCTGAGGTCACTGAGTATTTTTAATATCTGTCACATTCATGTAATCTGTGCAGAGCACTGCACAAACTGCAAAGTGCCACGTTGATGTATCTCAAGGTGACAGGAGAGAAGAAACTAATATTACTGTGTTATGAAACATTGTACCCTAATTTTAGAAAGGTTTACATAGGGAACTACAGACTCAGAGGATGGTTAGTCTACCACTGATTTCAAGTAGAAATGAAACACTGATTAATGCTAATTAGTATGATCTTAGGAAAGATAAACTTATCAATCAGACATTTTTGCTGCCTTTTATTCGGTCATAAAATTGTTTGATAAAGGTAATGGCAAATACATATTGAGCATAAATTTTCCCTCATTCTAGTAAAACTAGCACTGCATTAAATCAACTTTGCCAATATTAGCTGAATCAAAAATCAGTTACTTTGTATTATCAACAGGGGCTGGATGATTGCAGCCCCCCTCAAATCTGTTCACTGATGGGTTATGATTTGCCTAAGTGATTACTTATAAAAACAGTATATCTTCACATCTGCAGGTACTGCTGTATTACATAAATGGCACATTGTGACTGCATGAAGTCAGTGAGAGCAGCTAAACTAAGTACCTTCATCAAAAGAGCTGAATTTTTAACAGATTTTGATGCATGCAAATATTAAGGAATAGATTCCAAAAGAATGCAGATCATGTTTAGAAAATAGGGTTTACAAGCAGGGACAGCATCTAGAAAGTCAATGCCTTGGAAAAAGGCATGAAAATTACAGTAGGAAATTGTTTGAACGCATTCTTCCCTTATGATGCCGCAGCCAGGAGAATGGGTGAGCAGGAAAGAGTATGTAAGAGAAGAGGCAAGAGTTCCTCTTTCTCTCTAGCAGCAATGAAACAGCTCTCTCACTTTTCCTAGTGCTGTTATTCCAAGTACCAAGATGCTACTGATAATTTGTAAAGGGGTCAGGAAAGAGATGAAATAAATGGTTTAAGTTTGCTGTACACGACAAGTGATTTTCTTTAGTTCAGCTCTGTAGCTATGACAGACCAGGGGTGACTTAAAGTGTACAGATGTCCATGTAAGAGGCATGACTGAACTTGAATAATTACAGCCATAGCAAACAGTAGCAGACTAGAATTTTGAGACAACTGAGGGTAACCTGCCAGTGCACCACCTTACCTTGGAGACTGCAGATGCCTTGTCATTTATGGGCTTTAGCTGTGGTTTAAGCTGCTCTCTACAAAGCACATTATAGCTTAGGAAACAATGGACTTTGTGCAGAAATGAAACGAGATTCAGTTGTGTTATGTAGAAGGTTTGTAGAGCCGTGGAGATCCCTTCTAGCTTTGAATCCTAACACATCTATTCACACTTACAGACTGCTGTCAATACCCATGAAACAGAAACTAATGACAGCGTGTGCGGTTTTAACTTTCTACCTTCTGAGCATATGATCTGAATACTTCAATAGCCTTCCTGGTAGGGTGGAAATTACCAAAGCTACCAAGATACTCCTGCGTTGTTAGCCTGTTTCCTTAGGCAACAACATAAGCAGTCATTCCATCTGTCTGTCCATCTGTTCTGCCCTTCATTTTCAGTAACTTTTGAACCCATAATTAATTTTTCTTGAGTTCAAAAGAGGATAGAAGTCTTGAGGGTGAAACTTCTGCAAGGTCCATAAAAGTCAGAGTGGCAGTAGAGGAGGAATGCAAACTAATGCCCTATTGAAAAGCGCTGCGGTCGTTAGAGGCGGCGCTGCTTGGCAGGGCTGCCTGGGTGCCCTCAGCAGGTGAGTCTCGCTGCCCCGGCAAGGTGCCTGTCCTGCAGTGCAGGGTGGGGAAGGGATGTGCAGGAAACAGTGCTGCTGCAAGTGCACAAAGTGGGTGCTTGCAGAGAAATCCCTGGCAAGACAGTTTGCTTATGCTGTTCGCTAAGAAACCCCTTTTTTCAGCCAACGAAAAGGGGAAGATACTGTTTAAACAAAGTCACCCTTCAGGGCTTCGTGATTAGTAAGCTGTAGTCAGCTGACCATTGTTCACATATATATTAGAACTTCTGCTTTTTAGCTGCTGCTATAATTTGTCCTAGCTTGAAAACTGCAGGTGGGAGGTTTTCCTTTGCACCCAAACATAGATCAGTTCTGTCCTGCATTGCAGCCTTTATTCCCTCAACAAGCAAAACCAATGTAGAGTACTTTTGCCTTGCTTATTCTTTTGTTTGCCCTGTGGCACATGGGGTCTTTGCTGATTTGTGGAAGTATGTTTTATTACACAGTGACATTAATTCTGAAGCATGAACATAAATGCTTCATCTGGCTCTGCTCTCTATGAGCAGCGAGAGCATCCTGTTAGGGATTCACGGAATGTCAGAGGCTCATAACTGTCAAATCAACCCAGTTTATTTCTAAGCACTCCAAGGCTTTGCTTCTTTCAGTGACAGCTTTTGCCCAAGCCACTGAAAAGAAAAAGTCATAATGTTTTAATCATGAAGTCTATTTTTTCCCTATACAGTGGTATGGGAAAGCATATCTATGTAAAACTGATGTGACTAATTATCATTAGTCTGTGGGGAAAATGCAAGCATATAAAAACCCAACATGAAAAGGAGAATTTTAGACAGTCATACTTGTCTGTCTAGGAATGAGAGTATGAAGATTGAGAAGTAAAACTGTTGTTTACTGGAATCTGCCTGAATGCATCTATTTCTGTTTTCGTTCTTACAAAAATATGCAGGGAACTTCTTTTGCATCCATTGTGGAGATGTGACTTAGATTATTCCTTAAAAGTGAGCTTAATTAGACTTTGCTTAATCCTTTATTTTCATGCTTTATCATTAATGCACTCTTAAAAATGTAGAGCCTATGGAGGTGTGCCCAGATTGTGTGGAAGTGCCCTGCAGGAAGGGGGTGCTTTGGAGAGAGAGTTGACAGAAAGCCCCACCTGAGGTGTGGCATACAAATGACAGGAAGAAGTGATGCCCCAAGCAGAGTTGATAGAAACAGGGAAGAGCATAAGACTGAAAAGAGCTAATGAAATCCATTAGCTTGTACTTTTCCAGCTGAACTTTGGCATCTGATGCTATGGTGAAGTAAGTGGTCAATGCCTCACAGTTTCTAGACAGCCTCTCCCCTTCTGAATCGTGGTCTATATCTGAAGTTCTGCCATCAGAGACAGGCTGATGCATTGCCTAACACCTGCTTTGATAGTAATTCGCACTGCAGTGCCATGTGGTGAGCTGCACTAGCTTGAGACACATGCAGTAGTTTGTGTTAAATGTAATTGAAAAAACACAAAGCCTGTGACCTAAAGGACTAGTGTGGTGCCCTCATAAACCACCCTAGGTCAGATGCTCAGAGTTTGTCTGGAGAGGAGCATAGTTGTACTGGGGATGGACTTGTGAGGAAGGAAGGTGCTTTATGCTGGTAGTTTTAAGGAATACGTTCATATGCAAATGCAAATACATGCTGTGCGGCCTCCTAGTAGGTGGCTCTTTGGTGACTGTCATCACTATATTCTCTTTTTATTCTTTGTTAAGGGAAAGCAAACCCACAAGCACAAGTTTTTTTAGTACAATGTTTGAAGGTTTATTTAGTTATAAAAAGCTATTTCAGCAGCATTTGTTTGGTTGCATAGTTCATGCCAGCTTTTGAAAAGGAGATATTGAGCGGTTGGATATTAAAGTACATGACTTGAAAACAGGGTCAGGTCGTATTTGAAGCCAGTCACCTGTGCATGTTAGTCTGTGTTACCTAAAATTGATTCATTTTAGAATTCAGTATATTCTTGCATTGTGGTTTTCTTCTTTCTCCTTCCTCTTTTTCTGTTTGGCATTGGATAAGGTAGTTATTATAATATCAGACAATAGTTGCCTACTCTATAACTTGGTTTACCCCTAAATTACATGTAATTGATACTCAAGCACTGATGTAGTTTAAGATCCTAAGTAGAAGTGCCGTGCCCTGACCTTTCCCATCCAATCATGACTGCATAACTGTGACTAAGCCATGTGCTTTGTTATCTTCTGATGTCCTTTCCCTTATCAGGGACTCTTCCTTCACTTTGCAGATTAGTGGATACCTCAACCTGCTGGCCAACACCATTGATAACTTCACACACGGCCTGGCAGTAGCAGCCAGCTTCCTGGTTAGCAGAAAGGTAAGGTTTCTGGCCCCGACTGTTGCCTGAACTGAAGAGGCCTCATCTCAAGTGTGATGCAACAGACAAAACACCCAAAGATGTGAGGAGTTCCCTTCTATTTTCTGGAATTGTCTGAGAAAATGCAGACTATGGTAAATACCAACCCTATCCTGATCCTCTGATGCAGAGCTTCTCAAACTTGGGACATGTTAGTCATTTGCACTGGCATTAGGGGAAGGATTAGCTCATCTACCCTCACCTACTCAAAAGCCAGTCTAGAAATCACGTTAGCCCCTTACACCACGAGGATAGTTACCTCAGAAACAGGGACATAAATGAGGCAGAGATGTTTAATGCTTTTTTTTTTGTTTGTTTGTTTTTTGGGGTTTTTTTGTTTTTGTCTTCAACACTGATGGTGAGCTATGGGGTTCCTAGTGCCCTGAGCTGGAGAACCATGACTGAGAGAATGATAAACTCCCAGTCAGCCCGTAACCGGTGTGGGATCTGCTGCTCCAGATGGCTCCCTATAACTATATGGGACCTGATGGAATTCATCCAAGAATATTGGGATTGTTTTCTAATCACTTTCTCTCTGCTGCAGGTTGGGTTCCTCACCACAATGGCTATTCTCCTGCATGAAATCCCACATGAGGTGAGAGGGCTTTGTATCCTGCCATCATGAGGGGGATTACAAGGTGCTTCATCTGTTAAGGGCAGGCCTGGGTCTGGTTAACATTTTCTTGTCCTTTTGAAAGCTACTTCCTCTGGGAGACTGGCAACAGGGAAAATCAGGAACGGTCTTAAAGCGAATGGCCTTTGTGACTGAGAATTTAATATTTGTGCTTATTAACTGTCAGCTCTTGGGTTTTGTAGGTTGGAGACTTTGCAATCCTACTTCGGGCTGGCTTTGATTGCTGGAGTGCAGCCAAGATGCAGCTTTCCACAGCACTGGGGGGAATTCTAGGAGCCTGCTTTGCAATATGTGCTCAGTCACCAAAGGGAGCAGGTAAGGCTCCTTGGGACCTCTGTAGGAATGAAGGGGAAGACAGTGCTTGTCATCCTGGTGTGTGCATCTTCTTTCCCTCCTGTGTTGCCCTCCCATGGCTCTGTCATAGTAATAGCGAAAGCTTTCTGTGTTTCTGCAGGTGAAACAGTAGCCTGGATCCTCCCTTTCACTTCTGGAGGATTTCTGTATATTGCCTTGGTAAATGTTGTGCCTGATCTTCTGGAGGAAAAGAATCCTTGGTAAGTGTTCCCTCCTGTTCTGCTGCAGCAATTCTTACTTCCAGGGAGCTGGGATATAACCCTTCCTTGTGCCTATTCTGGGAGTGCATGAATGCCAGCTTTTCAAATTCCATGGTTAAGGCTGGAATCAAGAGAGACTGCTGTGCTGTCTGTTGTGTGTATGGGACTACAAAGAACCATCTAAAACATGGGAGCCTTCAGCTGGATCAGCCCTTAAGACTGTGCTAGCACAGGATGTAGCATGAGCAGCCAGAGAAAGGTCCTCAGAAACATGTCCAGTAAGGACACCTGTTGCCCAATCTGTCTTGCCAGTGCCTGGCATATACTGTTACGGGACTGTCCAGACCAGGGCCCCATAGAGGTGTGTGTGTCTGGTAACCAGATATGAATTTATCCTTCATATGCTTCTGCCATCCCTTTGTGACCCTATCCATTAGTTTGGGCTTCTGCAATCTCCTTTGGCAGCAAGTTTGCAGAGTTTGACTGCACTGTGTTAAGTGGTGCTTCTTATTTAGTTCTTACACTCCTGCTGATTGACTTTCTTTTTATTAGATCTTACCATGCTGCTGTGTGAGTAGAAAATAATAGTTTTCTTTATCATTCAACATTTCATAGTCTGACATTATATCCCACGTCAGTCATCTCTGTTCTGCACTGGTGTATATATATTCTAGCATATTTTGCCTCCCCTTGTGTATTACTCTAATTTCTTGAAGTCTAATTAAGGCTATAGCAGGTCCAAATCCAGCTGTACCACTGTAAAGCCCCTCTTGGATCTGCTAGCAGAGCTGCCTCTGAATGTTCCCTTCTATTTCAGTTGTAATGAGACAGGTAACTTAAGCAGTTTAAATAAGATTCCTTGGCTCACCTAGTTAATTTTGACATAAACAGTGCTCCAAAAACAAGCTCCACAGTTACATCTGAGGAGGCAGGAACTTCTGGTGGAGAAATGTTAATGACCAGCTGGGAGCTTGTTTGGTAACCTCATATGCTGGCAGGGGGTTTTGGCACAGTGTGCAGGGGTGGAAGGTACACAGTCACTTCAGTCCAGCATAAACTTGAGATAGTGCTAAAAGAATGGACAAATTCATCAGCTTTTTATTTTTCTGTAACTGTAGCTGTTAGTTGGATGAGGTCCGTAAAGTGTCTGTGAACGTGCTGCAGAAGCGCTGGTTCCCTTTTGAGTGAAAGGACAGGAATATATACCTGAATAGCTGCGTGACTGAATCAGCTTGAATTGATTTCCAAACCTGGAGTTGGACCTTGCAGCTGAGTGGAACAAGTACATCTCAGTTTATAGACAACTTCTTTGCTTGTGGTGCTGGGAAAGAAACTAGTGTCTGCATACAGCTATTGTGTTGTCCCTGTGGTAGACTTGGAAGAGCAAAGGGCAAACAATTTGAGAGCATCTACACTACTGCCTTATGGGGGTTGGTCTTTGGCTCCTCCTGATTTTGCTGTTTCTTTTCCAGGAACTCCCTGCAGCAAATTCTGCTCCTGTGTACAGGCATTACAGTCATGGTGCTACTCGCCCTCACAACTGAGTGACCTCTGCGCAGACCTCATGATGCCTCCCAGAGCCACATAGTGACTCTGAGCTGTTACAAAGCAATAAGGAACACTAATGTTACTTCCTACCTGTGCGCGTGCAGATCTGGCTGCTAATATGAGAAGCAGGTGAGAAAGAGGTCTGTGTGTGCAGGACTTAATTCCCTGGCTCTCATATCCCTGTTCTGCTAAAATCCACACATCAGGGCTTCTGTTCTTTTTGTTGGTTAGTTGGTTTTTATGGGGCAAAAGATACACTGGTCAGAGATGAACTGAACTGCTCCAGAATGAATGAACTATGTTTGGTTCAGTTAATTCTGATGGAACTGCACCTCCCAAGCTTTTGTGTGATAACAACAAGAGGAGATTCCTGTAGCTGATGAAGACAAAAGACTTTTCCTACCACTTTCTAAGGGCTGGAGGCAGAACAGGAATGACAAAGCAACAATAAATTAATAGCTTTAGCCAGTACTCCCTACCATGAGAAGCTGATGGTGCTATGAGATAGAGGGGTAAAGACCCTTTCCAACCTGGTCTCCAGCTTTCATTGACGTCACTTGTTCCTAAAGGTTAGCCTCAGCAGTCCAGCTCTTCTGGTCTGTTTTGTATCTCTTTATGCTGAAATTGAGCCCAAAGCTTGAGGCACTTTTTAGGACAGGTCACTACAATAAAGTGGTTCAGCTTGGAGATTACTTGCCTCAGCTCTAACCACTCCAACAGCCAACACAGCCTAACTATTACCAGATAAATGGTCAACAAATGTTTCTTCTGTTGCCATACTACTAGCTTACCTACGTGTGGAAGGAAAGCCATGTAGCTGTTGTGACTGAGCTACCTCTCCCAATATCCGTTAGCTGAACACGGCTCTGAGCCTGCTCGAGACCCGACTTGCTCCACATGGCGTTTCAGAGCTTTCTTGTGATGTAGCATGCTAGCCCTGCTCAGCATGCTGCAGCAGCTCTAGGCTGTCATGGCAGAGGTAGGTGAACACTACGGCCTGGTCAGCAGCTGATAACTTCTGGTTAGCTTCTCATCTGCTCAGTGTAGACTATTTAAGAGTACGCTATAACCAAAAATATAGATGATAGCCTATTTCTGGGCTTCTTACCTCACAGTGGAGTTCATCTGTGGGGAATGAATGGATAAGAAGTAATCCTGACAGCCCTTAAATGGGAAGGCTGAAACTGCTGGTGAAAATATTTTCAAAATATTTTTATGGAAAAGTGGTGTGCTAAGTAAGGAGAACAAGGCATGCGGAAGGGTGACTATATTTGCTTTAAGAGGAGTTTTCTGTTGTGTCATGCTTGGGATAGAATTTTTGGCAATTTGAGACCAATAAAAATAAATAGCATTTCCAGTGCTTTCCTGCATCCCAGCTCACGGGGCTGACCAGGCCATCACTCCACAGGGACATTTTATCGCAGAGAGATGTGCAGGAGTACTAGATCATCCCTTTTGCAGAGTTTATCCTTGCTTTGCCTAAATTTGTCTAAAAACAGGTCTAGTTGAACTAGCAGAGTCACTGGCCACAGAACAGGTGTTACAATGTCCATTGCACCAACTTTGCTCTGCCTTTAAACAGCTTTTGTAAATCAGTACAGCTCTCTAGGGCCTTATGACGAGGACTTGTGTCTTGAGAGGGCGATTTGGGTCAGAGCAACGAGGCAGGTATGCTGCCCAAAGCAGAGGCATTTGCTTCCCTAAGAGATTCCTGAAGTGTTGACACAGTTCTTTTTTATGACAGCTCTTGTCCTACTTTTCAGCGAGCGGCAGAGAGCTCATGCTTGCAGTTCTATCTGCCCAGGAACTGCTATCTGAAATTTTTTCAGCTTTTTTTATCCTGGATTTACATCAGTAACTAGTTTCATTGCAACACTGAGGGAGGCTTAGTGTAATTGTTTTATTCCTCCTAACAAAATTGCCTTCCTGTGCGAACTATCGTGTCATGAAGTCTGAAGGTAGCATCCACTTCGTGCTTTCCAGGAAGGATGATTAAGCCAATTAGCCTGTAGGGACTGGGGGAGTGTACTAACCCTCCAGTTCCAGCTCTGAGGGTTCCCCCTGCCTGGGGACTGCAGCTAGGTGAACTCTGCAGTAGGGCTCTGGAGGAGGCAGATATGCACAGAACGATGTGCCTGCTGTTTCTTAAGACTTCTTCCCCGAAATAAAGCTGGCATTTAAGTTGAGGCACTGCCAGGTGAGTGCCCATGAGTTGGCGCTGCATTAGCTCTGAGCCTTGCCAAGACAGAAAACCAGTCAGGATTTTGTACTCAGCGTTCAGGAATGTGAAGTGGATGACACTGAAGAAGGAATTTCTGAGGTGTTCATCCTGGCTGCTGCCACAGGCCTGGATAGTGTGTGGTTCTGGAGAAGATGCCCTGGTAGGAGGCAACTCAGGCCTCGTGGGAGGGAGGGGCCTTATAGTTTCCACAGTGTCAGCCCTGGGGCTGAGGATGGAGAGCCTTGGGAGGAAGTGGAGCATCACTCCACCACATTTGTCACTTTTGAAAATGCAGAGAATTGTATTTTCTAGCTCTATTTTTTCAGCTGCTCTTATGCATTTTCCCTCTTCATCTGTATTGATCTGCTCTGCATGGAGACAATAGAGATGAAATAAATGGTTTTCCATGTTGGTTTGTGCCGTAGGGATTTTTGTTCTGTTTTGGATTTTTTGAGACTGCTACATTTATTTGGATTACAAATTCTATTCGCATTTCATTTGAATTTTAGAGCTATACCTCTGCATTAGTCTGGATTAGTCTGGGCTCTGTTTTGCTGTCAGACTTCCCTCACAATTGAAAGAGAAGGTTCTAATCCCGTTTCTTCTTTCTGCTGCCATGGAACTGTCGGCCAGGAACAGCATGGGTCACTCATAATTCTTAGGGTGCACTCATCAAACACTGTTTGTAGGAATTGCCCAGACGGGACTAAAAGGAATTTCTCTACCCTTCAAAAACATGGGTTCAGAGCCTGTCTTATCCCATTCTTTGTGTGGAAGATACTCATCCTATCAGTACTTACTGGTATATGGCTCTCAGTGCTTACCACAAGTCTTCTGTAAGAAGGAGGAAAACCATAATCCAAGAGCTGGAAGAAGATGAAGGCAGGTAGGTGATCAAGGCCATAATTTCACAGCCTGTGGACTCTGCCAGCAATTTGCATTTCAGAATCCATGCCCCTGGCTTTACCATGCTGCTGCACTCTTGTGCTGTGCTGGTAGCCCTGCCCATGGGGCTGTGCTGTGTGCCTCCCTCCTCTATCCCTTTTTCTCAAAAGTAGTCAGAATTAGCACAAATTAATCAGCTGCCACAAAGAATGGCCCTGACACAGCTGCAGTAGCACAGGAGGGAGTACAATCAGAAGGAATCTCATACATGGGAACTTTGTAAGGTGATGGTCTTGTGGAAGCCCCTGTGTTCTGAGACATTGGCCTGAGGAGCTGGTGTAGGGTGACATAATGGGATTGCAGGCCTAGGAAGTGTGAATATTTGGATCTTTCCAGGAAAGAGCTATTACAATTCAAGGATTTTTCCGTGTTAGCTGGAGTAGTGATTCTGTTTGTAAATTATTTTTCATTCTTGATGTGGAAGATTTAATTTAGCTGGTATGTGTAAGAAAATTCTGACAGCCCTTTCAATATGCCTGCCTTGAAGGCACTAATGTGCAGCTGCATGGACGGTAATCGCAGCTGTCCAGCGCAAACTGCAGAAGAGGATCGTGTTGAAACGTTGTTAAAAGAAGCTTTACCTGTGGCTGCTGCATGTTCCCACCAGGCATAGTGCTCTGTTCTGGGCAGGGTGGCTGGGAGCAGTGCTGGGGAAGGGTGTTTAGGTTGTGCTTGGTGTGGCAATGAGACCAAGAAGAGACAGGGTGGGGTGAGGGGGAAGAATCTACATCTCCTACAGTTGAACAGTTGCTCCCGGGAGACACTTTTAAATACTTTTAACAAAGAAAACTAAGGCTTTCAAAACTGGACATTAACTTAGTAGTTTAGACATAGCCTATCACTAGCTCCTGTAGTTTGCAGGTCAGAACTGACAAGATGATGCCCTAACAACTGGCTTTGGGGACTGACCGTGCTGCAGCTGGAGGAACAAGTCCCATACAACAGGCGGGATCAGAAGGGATTTTGTCCGCCAGGAAATGCTGCATTTAACTAATGGCTTGGATTTAGCTTGCTTCTCATCACGTAAAATAGATGGACGTTTTTCAGCTTTCCCGGCCGCCTTTGCCACTCGGAGCTGCTCCTGGAGTGTTGAGGGGAAATCAGTCCCAATGCCGACACATGCTCTTTGACATCGCCTGCGTGTGGAGGTCGCAGGATGCCGCGGCCCCGCTGTGAGCAGAGCCGGGCCCGGCACT